CTCTTCTTGGTCCCTGACTGATTGACTTGTTTCCTACAGAAGGAACACAGAACCCTGGCCCAGGGAGAGATGAAAATACTGGAGAAGGCAGATAGAACTACATTCAAAGGCTGATCCCACCTCTTATTTCCTGACCTTGTGGCCTCAGGTGTCTCCTATCCCTAACTCCATTTTCCCAACCGAAATGGGAAAATCAGTGCTTCCTGCCTCCCTCTCATGGAAGCTGGGAGGCCTCTCTTAAGCAGTGAATTGGACCCTGAAAACCAGCACCCCTGAAAGTCTCCCCTAAGGAGCTGTGGACATACAGGAGGCCCAGCCAGAGCCAACTTGTCTGGGCCCGGGCAACCCAGGCTGGGCAGCAAACTGGGCCCCTCCAGCACCTGTCTCTGAGTGCTCAGACCCTCCCACCCCTGCCCCACTGCCCTACCCACCTCCCGGAGGACCCAGCTCCATTCTCCCTGGGGGCAGGGAGTCGGGGCAGGGAGGTCCTCTTCTGTTCCATCCTTTCTCCAGCCAACCTAGGGCTGTCTGTGTGCATAGGAGGTCAGATGAATACTTAGATGAAAAACTACCAAGAAAAATAAAAGTGATCACCGTAAAGTCCAGGGAGAGAGGTTGGAGGGGACCCACAGCAGGGGAATGGCTGCTTCTGGGACCCCAGCAATGTTCTGTTTCCTCCCCGGGGTCGTGGTCCCATGGGTGTTCGCTGTGAAAGTATCCGTTATACTAAGCTTCGTGTTCTAAGCATTTTTCTGCCCGTGATACCATTCACAGTGGAAGAAGACAATCTAATCATGTCTCACACTTAAAACTCTCCCACTGTTTCAGTTGCTTCCTTTGTAGAAGAGCCAAAGGGCACATGCAGGGACTGCAGAGTTATGCAGAGGAGGAAGAACTGAGGCATTGGGCCCTGGGTGGCAGGGGTGGGAGGCAGGTGGCAGGAGGGGAGGGTGCATTGAAGCGGATGTCAGTGGGTTCGACTTCGCTGCTGAGAAGAATGGAGCGCTCAGGCCGGGACCTCCAGACAGACTCCGGCTCCCACCCCTGCCACCGCCTGGCCCCCAAACCAACATCCTAGTGGACTTCATCGAAATGCAACCTTAATAACCCCAGCCCCCTCTTCGAATTCAGCCAAGGCTTCCCACTACCCTCGGGATAAATCCTAAGCTCCTTTCCCCCCCCCCCGCAGGAGCCCTGCAGCTCCTGGCTCTGGCCAGCCAGGCCCCTGCCCTCTCTGTCTGGCTTGGCCTTCTCTGGTCCTGGAACCTAGCAGTGACCCGGCCTCCCAGCGTTGTCCTCATCCCCTCACTTTGTCCCCTGAACTCCTTAGCTGAAGCTCCATAGGCGGAGGGCAGCCTGCTCCGGCCCCAGCTCAGGGGTGGCTCCCCGCCCCCTTCCTATCCGCTCACCGCCCCCAGCTCTGTGCATTCCTGGCCCTTCGCACAGTGTGACATCTGCTGCTTCCCTCAGACTGACAGTTCCAGGAGGACAAGGAAGCGGGTGGGTGCTTTACTGGGACATGGAGCCCCCAAGGCAGAGCAGGGCAGGGCTGGAGCTGGGCCCCAGGAAGCCTCAGCCTGGAACACCTGACGGGCCTTCCTCCTCACAAAAAGGAGCAGGAGCCCCCACACCTCCACCCCTCAACTAGGAGCCAGCTCTCCTCAGCACATCCTCCCCCTCCCCCTTGCCCCCCGCCCTGCTTCACCACCCCGTGCAAAGGCAGAAGGAGACAGCCTTTTCATTCAGCAGCAAATGTTTCTTCTTCCTTTTTCTCATTGCCATGGAAACAGCTCTTCCTTCACCCAGCCTGCCAGTTACGGTCTTGAAGGAAGGGAGTGAAAAGCCCCAAGCAGGGAGGGCATTCATTCATTCCTTCCTAATGCTTGATGAGACCACATAACCAAGGGTTGAGAATTCAGGTGTTAGCCCTGGCCGGTGTGGCTCAGTGCGATGGAGCAGGTTCGATTCCCAGTCGGGGCACATACATGTCGGTTGCAGGTTCAGTCTCAGGTCGGGGCGCATGTAGGAAGCAACTGATCCATGTTTCTCTCTCATCACTGTTTCTCTCCATCTCTCTTTCACCATCCCTTGTCCTCAGGTGAGGATAAAAAAATTTTAAAATTGATAAAAAATAATAATAAAAGAATTCAGTTGTTAAAGTCAGACCTCTAGGGCTTCAGTTTCTGCTCTGACTCTTCCTTCCTGAGCAGGAGGCTTCACCCGTCTGACGCTCAGTGTTGTCATCTGAAAGGGGAATAAAAATAGTGCCTACTTCATAGAGTTGCCTTGAGGATGAACGAGGACTAAAGAAACACACTCAGCACACACACATTGTAAAGGCTGGGCAATCACAGAGTTGTGTTGATGAACACGAAGTGCCAGCCATTGCAAGAGGTGCTGATAGACAATTGTGGCAAGACGATCTAATTCGAGAGACTTTTCACTTTCCCTAGTCTTTCCAACACTTTCAATTTAGTTTCCCTAAAAATAGCAACTCTTGCTTTTTCGCTCCTCATATTTCCTTGGTAAAGGGCATGAATTAAATTCCCTAACTACAGTAACAAATACTACAGGCATAAACAGGCTTGAAAAAAAAAAACACTTCTAACACTTAGGAAACAAACAGCTCAACGAGGGAACCAAGGTGAGCAGGAAAACTAGAGCGGCGAGCCACTGTAAAATCAATGTAGTTGTCGCCAGCATTATTTAAAAAATAAAATAGATAAAATATCAAAGGACATTACACGAAGTCAAGTATTGTATCAGGAAACATTTGTTGCTGTTACATATACGAGCATGTGTGTGTGCAAGGTGTCTGACCTGGGTACTGGCCCCGTTGAACTTGATATTCCCTGTGCAAGAAGAACCTCCCCCCTCCCCACACACACCACACATTCAAACACACACATTCTTTGCTTGGTTAATTCATTCTCTAGGTCTCAGCTGTAAATAGCAATTTTCATTTCATAGTTGTCTTTGGTTACTTGATTGTTTGTAACTTGATTCATTCACATCCATCTCTTCCCCACGCGCTAGGTTTGAGCTGCATGAGGTTCAGGGGGCATCCGTTGTGTTGGCGTCAGCGACCCATTTTTAGCACAGTGTCTCATCTGTCGAACATCAGTAGGTATGTGGAAAGACCCGAGAGAGGGGACATGGGGGAGGAGCAGGGGGCCCGGGAGAGACCAGGGTGACGTTTGTTGGGGTGTTGGTTTAAGGTGGTGCAGAGCCCAGGAGGAGCTGGGTGTCCAGGAGGAGGTTAAATATCGTGCCTGGGAGAGGTGCAGGCTGAGAGGGGGCAGTGGGGCGTGGCGGTGAGACCCAGGGACCCTGGTCCCAGAGTGGCAGGTTTGTAAATATATAGTAACTGTGGAAAATCAGGAACAAACCTCACCTCTCTATACCTGAGTCCCCTCATCTAGTCATAGGCTGCAAGGAGGGTCAAATGAGTTCATTATATAAAGTGCTTGACACAGGTACTTGGTGCATAGTAACCGCCCCATTTATGTTCATGATTCTCAGCATCCCGCAAGTGTTGGAGGCGCAGGTAACTGAGGCCAGAGAAGTGGGTGTGATCACCCAGAGATGAAGAAGAGAAGGAGCTTCAAGGCGCCCATCTGCGGGAGAGTGGCCAGAGAGGTGAGGCGGGAGACCAGACCAAGGCGGCACCAAGGAAACGAAGGGGAGGAGTGGCCAGGGCGGCTTTGAGGTCCCATAAAGGAGAGGCCAGGAGGAGGGAACTTTCTAAATGGCCTATTTTTTAGCTCGATTGGATGCTAAGGGAAGAGGGAGGCATTCGACTGGAAGATAGGGAAGGGGTCAATGAGCTGGCGGGAGCGGAGGTGTGCTCCGGTCTATCCCTTCTTCCAGGACGTATTTTTAGGGAGCAGAACGTGGGTGTCGAACGCAGAAGCGCAAAGCTTTGTCTCAGGAAGGCAGAGGGTTCAGAGGGAAGTTTAAAACAAAACCTCCCCGGGAGCTCAGGCCCCGAGTTCTTTGTAACAAAACCACTGAGACCTCCAAGCAGGGAGTGAGGGGGTCCCTAGGCGCCCGGAACCCCGCCTCCGCCCCGCCCAGTAAGCCCAGCCTGAACCCTCTGCAGTTCGAGGAGGGGCCCCGGCAGCCTGGGGCCAGGCGTCCGGGAGGTGGCGTTGGGGCACGGCCTGAGACCGGCGGCGCATTCCGGCGGCGGCGCGGGCGGGACCCGGGGACAGAGAACGGCAGGCAGCGTCACGCGACGCCCAGCCCCGCGGGTGTCCTTAGGGATGAATGGGGACTACAGGGCAAATCTGAGAGCGGGATTCACGGCCTCAAGAGCAGAGAGCCAATGGGATCCCTGGTGTGACAGCGAAGCAGGAACGGAACCAATCAGCTATGAAGACAAAGCTGGGGGCGGATCCGCGCGGAGTTTCAAAAATCGGCTAGGGTGGGCGAGGTGCATCTGCGCTCGGCGTCTGGTGAAAGTGGGGGCATTTGGGTGAGTGCAGCCCGGGGCGTAGTAGGGCTTCTGTTCAGAAGAGACCTGGACCGCGGGGGCGAGAGGGTGTCTATTTAGGCCAGGCACGCCCGTGTAGCGTCTGGGTATTTATTGCAAGGTGGAAATGAGGGCTCTGGCCGGCCCGCCAGGGTCTGGGCGGGAGCGCGTTGGGTCAGGGCGAGGTGTGAAAGAGGCGCTGTTCCTGCGCTCGGCCCGCTGCTGAGGCTCGAGGAGAGCCGCTCCTGACTCTGCCTTCCTCAGACACTTACAGCGATAGACCCCAGGAAATGCTGACCAGCCTTGCTGAACCTCTGCCCTCTTCTGGGCCTGGCTGACCATCCCCACCTTTCAGGAAGCACCCTGCTCCTCGCACCCCCAAATGCCAAGTGCACCCCTCCCCAGCCTGCTTCTCCTGTACCCGGGGTCTCTGGAGCTCGAGAATGGGGTGGAGGATGCCTTGCTGACCTGCCTTTTGACCTGCTCCCCAGGGTCTGGTGGACAGAACAGACTGCTGGCCAGGCAGATGGCCTCTCGGTGGCCAGGCGTGGGGGCCGCCATTCGCAGGAGATCTCTGCAGGACCAGGAGCAGCTGGAGGAGAGCGAGGTGCTGCAGCCAGCAGTTGGCCCCCTGGAGCCCTCCAGGGGGGCACTGGGCTCCCTCTGCAGACAGTTCCAGAGGAGGCTGCCCCTGCGAGCTGTCAGCCTCAATCTGGGGGCAGGCCCCTCCTGGAAACGCCTAGAAGCCCCAGAGCCGGGGCAGCAGGGCCTCCAGGCTGCAGCGCGCTCAGCGAAGAACGCCTTGGGTGCCGTGTCCCAGGTAAAGCTGACCATGGCCAGGTCAACTGCTGGCGAAGCGTTGCCCTAAGGAAACCCCAGGCCCACAGACCCCATAAAGGCAACGGCTTTATTTGTTCAATGCTGTGTCCCCAGCACCCCAAATAGCTCCTGGCACTTAGTAGGTGCTCAACAAATGGTTGAGTGGGTGAATGAAAACAGTCTCATGGAGGAGACATCCCCACAGTACAAGATGAAACTGCAAGCGAGTAGCTAATAATGGGAGGGCCCCCGAAACAAGCTTAGTCGGTAAGGCTTCCCAGATGGGGTGCTTCCACAGTTCTCTCAAGAAGGGGGAAGAATGAGGAGCGCATGAGACAGGAGGAACCGGGTGAGTCCAGGCCCAGAGCTGCGGGAGAGCAAGCAACTGAAGAGAGCAGGCGGGAGCTGAGTTTGGGAAGGGCCGGTGAGCAAGGCAGGGCAGTGAGGGGGGCCCAGTGTGCTCCCGGCGCTTAGACGCTCCCAAGAGATGCAGGTAGTCTTGGGAGCCAGTAGAAAGAACTTACAACAGGGTGGGAATCAGGTCTGATTAGAATATCAGAGCTTGTTCTCTAGCTACTTGCTGGAAAAGGGTCTAGAAGCGGGGTCTCCCCTGAGGGGGTCGGGGCCCTGGACTGCAGAGGAGTGAGCAGCTTCGGGAGCTGCTCAGAAGGTGGATTTGGGAGGGCTTGGTGTCAGATGAGACACGCGGACAGGAAGCTGTCACTTAACGTTGGGTGTGAGGTGCCCAGGTGGCTTCCAAGTGAATGCATCTTCAAACCTGGAGTTGGAGATGTATGGAGGTGCCACCTAGAAAGGACAGGGGCTGAGAGAGTGACAAGAGCTCCAAGGAGAGAACAGGGGGTTCTCCTTGCCTTCTGATTGGGAATCTGAAGTAAGGGGAGAAGGAAGATGTTCCTGGTCTCTGAGCCAAATGTTAGTCTTTGTCTAGAAGAACCCCATGATTGTTTTATCCCCAGGGATCAGAGATGAGATGAGGTCCCCTGTCCAAGGTCACATAATTCAGCAAACGTGACTCGGGTCTTGCCCTAATGACTCTGGACTCCGGTTTGCCAAGGCAAGGACAGTCTCACTGAGGAAGAGCCTTCACAGCTGTCCCCCGGCTGGTGTGAAAGGCTTGAGAGTTAGGGCTTGGTCCTGTGGGCAGTGAGCAGCCATAGAATGAGCAGCTGAGCATCATGATCAGAACTGCCCCTGATAAGCATCTCTGTGCATCAGTGTGGAGGGAGGAACAGAGCGAGGCCAGAAGCGGGGGACAAATTATCTCACGGTATCCTGGGGGGTAGACTTTGCCCTTGAGTCTCTGGGTCAATCTGTGTCCCAAAAGAAGGTTTGGATTTAGGCAAATGGAGGCTCTATGAGCCGGTGTGGTTCTGCTGCTGACCACTGCACTCACACCTGGGAGGTCTGAACTGGAGCTCGACATGGACCCCTGTCACCTGACATCACCCATGTCCCTCACCCTGGAGACTAAAAGCCACTGGTGTGTGTAGGTCAGTTGACAGGTGGAGGGGTCCGAGCTATGGCTTGGAGACCAGGGTGGCTCACCCTTGGCTTGTCTGTGCTCGCATTTCCATGTACCTGTCTCAGAGAATCCAGGAGTCCTGCCAAAGTGGCACCAAGTGGCTGGTGGGAACCCAGGTGAAAGCCAGGAGGAGGAAGAGAGAGACGCAGAAGGGCAGCAGCCCCCCAGGCCGCAGCCTGAGCCAGAGGAGCACCCGGCTGTCTGGGCCCAGCCCTGGCCGCTCAGCTCCGGGCCCCTGGGAAAGGGAGCATCACCGCCTCCCCACCCAGAGGGGCCCCTGTGCCCACCCACTGCGCAGGGCCAGGAGGGAGGCCGCCTTCCGGAGCCCCTACTCCTCTACAGAGCCCCTCTGCTCCCCCAGGTAAGCAGAAGAGCATCTTGCTCCTGAAACAGTAACAGGCCCAGGGGCTTCTGAGTGCATCCCAGGGCTCCCTGGAGCCAGAGGCACCCTGAGCCGAGTCACATCTGTGTTCTGGCCCAGCTCTGTTCCCTGCTAGTCAGGGACCTGGGAAAGTCTTTAGGGCCTTAGTTTCCTGTCTATAAAAGGAAGAGGTGAGCTTAGCTCTGCCTGTATCACACTCCCAGTGAGACTACAAGCCACTCTGGAAGCCATCTTGAGGCTGAAGTGGGGAACAGCAGGGCTCACCTTTTTACATGATCACCTGCTCTTGACCTTGATCTCATGAGCCTTGATCCATCTGTTCTCTGTCAGCTGTTCCAAGTTGCTCTGACGTCACTTCCTAGAGAGAGGTCCTGGGGTGCTGACCAGACCCCACAGACCCCAGGCTGCAGTGCTGGGTTGGAAGGGGCGTCTGCCACAGATTTCCAACCAGGCACTGGTGCCTGTGGCTTTTTTCTTCTGTTCAGTGAGTCCGACAGTGACCTGGAGCCTGTGGGGGCAGGAATCCAGCATCTCCAGAAGCTGTCCCAAGAGCTGGATGCGGCCATTGTGGCTGGGGAGAGGTAAGCTGGCTTCCCACGCTTCAAAGCCAAACGGCTAGGGGGGCCCCCCTCTTGCAGGCAGGCCTCCCGCTCCGGCCCACTGTGTGACCCTGGCCAGCCCCGCCCCTTCTCTGAGCCTCGGTCTCTTCAACTGCAATGTGACAGGGCACAGAAGACCTAGATCGCGGGGTGGTTAAGGATGCACCGTGGATATACATGGCCCTCTGGGCCTTGGGCCCCCACCCTTGTCCATCACCTGGACCTTCACCAGGCTGGGTCCTGGTTCCTGAACAACCTGCCCTGCGTCCAACACTCCCCAAGGCCCCCGTATGCCCTGCCCGCCCATGGGATAGGGAAAAGCTGCGTAGCTGCTTGGAGTTCCTGGTCTGCTCCAGACCCCATCCTGTGGGCGGAGCCTGGGTCTGGCACTGCCCTAACTCGGAGCCATTTGTACATGGCCGACGGGCTCTTAGGCGGGGCCCTGCCAGCTTTGATGGTACACCGAATGTGCCAAGCTCCCACCATGTTGCCGGGTCTGGCCTTGTCTAGTTGGAGCTGGGCGGGCCCCTCAGAGCCTGCAGCTCCCAGTGGCATCTGCCTCTCCTGCTTTCCCATCTCTAGCGGTGACGTGACCTTTTCTTTCATTCGTGACTGAGGACAGTGCCCTTCAGGTAACGCCCGCCCCCCGCCAAGCATCTTTCTCAGTGTCCTCTGCTTTCTCCTCTACTCCTCCTACATGAGCGCGTATGCATATCTGGAGGCACGTTAAAGAGCTGAGTCTTCTGGAAAAACCCACAGAGCTGATGGCCAGCAGAGCAGGAAGTGCATAGTCGCCCTGCCCACTCGGAGCCAGAGCTGCTCGCCCTACTGACCCCGTCACCTTCCAGCCCTCGTTTGGGGGAAAGACTATGGTGCCCTCATTCCCCTGTCCTGAGCACAGTGAGGGGCAGGAGGGAGCTCTGTCTTGGAGGAAGCAAGCCATCCTTACCCCGCGTCCCCACACCTAGGGCCCCCGCCTCCCCTTGAGTTCCTGAGGAAGCCACCAGGACTTAGCAGTGCCCCCTGGGCCATGTCTGAGCCCGACAGAGACCACCTGCCCCAGCCCAAGAGTGGCTCGAGGACACCTGGGAGAGGAAGAAGGATTGTTCATCCTGCTCCCCTTTTAGGCTTTGAGATGCACCCCACACTTGAGCCTTGTGGTTGTCTCTTCCGCAACGTGAGCTGCAGGCTCCAGAAGGTATTGAGAGCACTGAGACACGCACCCAGGAACGCGGCCTGCGAGAAGTCAGCCCCCGTGTCGCCAGCGCCCAGGCTACTGGGAACCGGCTCCCGTCCCTGCTCCAAAAGAAGGGGTGGGAGAGATTTTCAGGCTCTGAGACCCGGGCCCACAGGTACCTATTTATATTCATGGCCCTGTGGGTGGCAGGGAGGAGTAGCTCTGCTCTGCAGCAACTCCTGCCCTTTGTAAGTTATTTAAGAAATCTGCTTTGTCATTTTATTAGAAAGAAACCCGTGTGCAACTTTTCCCAATAACTGTGCTTTTCATAATAAAGCCTCTCTCTGTGTTTGACTTCTCTTCCCTGTCACCAACACCCCCGGCCACTCTGGTCTGTGGTTCGGGCCAAGCCTTGTTCCCCTCATCCACCCTCACTCCAAGCCAGCCAGCCCCCAGCTCCGGGAGAACAGGAGTAACAGGAACGTTTTCTCAGTTTCATTCAGAGCAAAGCACATTTTAAAGGCAAATAAGGTTTTTATTTCAGTGACAACGTTTGAGAGTTAAAAACCAGCTCACATCAAAATCAAGACCAGTTGTAAAAATCTTTTGAACTCCATAATGCTGTTTTTGTCTTGTTAGAAATCTGGTATTTTACATTTTCTTTTCTAACGGAGTTTGTACAAGGCAGCCATGAAGAATATAATAAATCCTTTTCACCACAGAACCAGCCACCACAGATAATACTGAGAGTTACACACTTAGGAACAGTCAGACCACAGACAAGATCGGACAGGCTGCCACCACCGGGTAAACACATACAAAAGGACATGGGGTCCGAGGGTGGGGGGCCCCATGAGCGAACCGCCCTCCTGTCCTGCCCCTCCTTGGTGTCACCTGCTGCCCCTTGTCCCCACAAGAGTGGGGTTCAACTGATACTTCTCCCAACCACCCTCTTGGTTTCTTAGCAGGAGAGCAGGACCCAGACCAGGCCTCGCTGCTTCGACTTAACCCTAAGTATAACTTTTAAGAAAGTTCCCTCCGAGTCCAGAGGGCGTGGAAGGAGGGAGGTGACTTCTTGTGGCTGAGCTAAAGAGACTAGGTTTCCAGTGCACTTGGCACCCAAACTCCCAGGGCTCAGCAGGGAAGTCGGTTGTTAAGGCGGGGTCAGCTGCGAGGCTCCTCCGCAGTCCGCGCCCCTCCTGTGTGGGGCTGCACCTGGGCTGGGTGGGAGGGCGTCCGTGCAAAACCACGCCACAGCCGGACTCTGCCCCCGGCCCCGCTTCGTTTAAACATCGATGCCCCCTTTGTCTGCAGGACACCTCTGGGCATGAGTATGGGCTCCAAGTGGTGAAAGAAGTTAAAAAGCCATGAGACACCACCTCCCCTCTAGAGCCCATCCCCCCCCACAATCTCTGAATACTGGGGTTCAAACATGTTTGTTTTCTCTGGCCCCGTATCCAGGCAGGAGGGCCATGCATCCAAATGCATGAAAAGTCTCCTTTTTTAATATTTTGTGGAGCCTAAGGAAGGGGACAAGCTCTTTGGGAAAAGCCCATGACGCCAGAAGAGGAGGCCCTGGCTGCGGGTGCACCCTGAACCCCGACAGGGCGAACGGAGAGGAAGGCGGCAGGCAGGCCCTCCAGCAGGACGGCCACCGACCCCAGAGAAACAAACATGCCACACAAGAAACGGGGAGCTTTGGTCAGGCAGGGAGGTCTGTTTTCCAGCTCCTGAGGAAGGATTTCCAGGAAAACAGCCAGTCGGGGTCACAGAACTACCCAGAGACAGGCGGCAGCCCCCTCCAGAGCACAGCATGATTTTGTTTTTCTCCAACAAAACTGGACGAACAAAATCGAACAAACCACTGGTAGAGAAAGTGCACATTGGTTACAGTTGCCGGGAAAGCAGCACTGAAACCTACGCTGTCTGAGTCTGGTCACTACACAGAGCCCCGCACACACGCAGTCACACGCCCACGAAAGCTCCTAGAGCGAAGTTCACGATATCTCACTGTACACTGTCAGCCTCGCCGTGAGTCTCCAGAGCCCCACATCCAGAGCTCCAGAGAGGAAGAGGGTGTGACCCTCCTGCCAGGTCCCACATCCCAGCTCCGACCCCCACAAACGCAGGATCCCGCTCACGTGGATGCAACATTCCCCGGGGTCCTGGCACGCTCCCTCACTCCCGCTCCAAGCCTGGGGCTCTCAGGAAAGGCAGAGGGAATTGAACGAGGGGAGAAGTAGCTCCCGCTAGTTATTTCGGCGTTTGAGAGGAATACATCAGTGGCTTCTGCAGAAAGATGATGGAGTTTCAGAGAATCAGACCAAGTCTGCCCAGGTGTAATTCAGGGCATATTTTGGAAAGGAAGGGAAGGATTCGGGGCGAGGTGGCTAGGCCACATGAGCTGGTGCCTTAGGGACAGCCAGGGGGCAGGACCAGAGCGGAGGCCAGGTGGTCGCCCCTCCCCAGCAGGGTGGCCAGCACTGGGCACCGCCGTAATGCAGACGCAGGGCTGAGAGTGAAGCAGAGAGCTGGCGGGCCGGGCGGGGGATGTGGCAGGAGCGGGCAGACTGGAGAAGACACGTTTCTAGTAGAGCAGGGTGGGGGCTGGGAGCCCGGACCCCCTCCCAGCCCCAGCAGGGTGCCCCATTTGCCAGTGGTGCCAGCCGCCCCCACCAGCAGCTGCCGTTGGGGAGGACACTGGCCACATGGGGACTGCAAGAGGTAGACATTGAGCAGAAGCGACACTGAGCTGACACAGGTGCCTGCTGTGTATACAGATGTCTGGCCTGGCCCGTGATGCAGAGCCCGGGCTGAAAGAACTCAGGGGGCTCAGAGGCTGGGCCGGGCTGCAGGAGACCAAGACTCAGGCCCGGGGCCCAGCAGCGTGAGGGCCTGGACAGGCTTTGAGGGGCCCCAGGAGAGCTAAGCCCCCGCCAACCGCAGGGGACGACCCAGGAGGAAGTCATGGGCACCAAACCAAGCTGAGTGGCAGAGGGAAGGAAAGAAATACAACAGTTTGAGCCAAAACTACATGAACCCCCAGAACTCCAGGACCTCGGCTCTGTGCCTTCAAGGCGCCACAAGGGAGAATTCAGTCTGGGCTGAACTGCGGAGGAGGGGCCCAATCGGTGCCCTCTGGGAGGGTGTTTCTTTCCCCGGGACACTGGGTTTGGGCATCTGTGCAAAGCAAATCTCTCCACGGAGCAGGGCCCCTTCCCCTCAACCCCAAGGGCCTTCCTTTGGAGGGGTGGGGTGATCATGGCTCCCCCGGCCCACCCAGAGCCCCTCTCTCTCTGACTGTGGGGACGGTGTGGATCATGGGGCAGTCCAAGGAGCTCTCCGGCCTGAAAAGCCTCAGGGGGCAGAAGTGCCCGACAGCCGAGGAGTCAGAAACTCGCACCAACCTAAGTTCAGCGGGGGAGACCCCTCCGTGACATAGGAAGGCAGGGCCCTGAGAGGGCCAGCAGCCAGCTCCAGGGCTCACAGCCCGCCCAGCCAGGCCAGAGCCCAGGGCTGCAGCCTCCCAGGGGAGGGCACCAGGCAAGACTCCGGAAAGAGAAACAACTGTCCTCAAGGGCCACAGGAGAATGAAGATTCTGAGGACAAGAAGGCGAGACATGAACAACTGCAGGAGGACAGACCGTCAGCACCAGACCCGTCCTGCCTGGGTCACGGACAGACACCTGAACGTAGCATGAGCCCAGGGGGCATCCTCTCACTCCCAGAAAGTGGCCACTTTGCCACAGGAGAGCCAGGCCCACGATGGTGACTCAGGATGTCACAGGGAGGGCAGGCGCAAACGTCCCTCGCCTCTCCACCGCACAGCCAAGAAGCCGGCAGCTGTGGATCCCTGGCCTGGGGGCCTCTCCCTTTAGGGCCTGCCTAGCCTCGCTGCAGAAGCCTGGAGAGCTCAGAAAGGAGGTTGACTTCGTCAAACACTCCGGGCAGGCCTGCACCCCGCACTACACAGACATCAGCCCTGACGTGGGCTTGAAGTCGCAGGCACCGGGGAGGCAGCAGTGGCTGCGCTGAGACCTGGGCACCTCACCCCCTTGCAGCCCAGGGAGCCCCCAAGGCCGGGTAGGGTCCCTCCCCTCTGTGGTCGGACACTGCTGGACAGACACAGGAGGGAAAAAGCAGGAAAAGGCCTGTGTCGGGGAGAAGGCAGCCCCTCCGGTCCCCGCAAGCAGCCTGGTAGGGCCCCCCTGCTTCGCGCACAGCCTGGCCCTCAGGGCACCGACTCGAACTTGGGGGGCCCGCGCGCCCAGCTGAGCGCCGACAGGGGCCGCTCGTGGTCCTTGTCAGACTCCGGTTGGCTCTGGGCCCGCTCCGGCTTGGGGTTGGCGGGCGGGTCCGGCTGCTGCACCGACATGGTCCTGCGCAGGTGGTTGCGCTTCCGCAGGAAGTCGGGTTGCGCGTGTAGACCGAAGCTGCCCTTGCGCAGGATCATCCGCGAGTTGTTCTTCTTGGGGCGCGAACGGTGACTGGCCTCCAGCGCGGCCAGGTGGGCGGCGTAGCCTTCGCTCAGGAACTGCGGAGGGGATAGGAGTCAGGCCAGCGGGGCGGGGCCGGCCCCCGATCCTGCCGCCCACACCCCAACATCACCCTTTCTCGGCAACACCCTCCCCCGCGGTCTTCAGTTTCTCCCTGGAACCCCAGGAAACTGGAAGCTCACTAGCATTCAAGCCTCCCCCTCCTGCTTTGGACAACTGAGCGCTTCTGTCTTTACTTGCAGGTCATTCCAGAATTCTCTGATTCCTGACCCGGTGGAGGGGGACGGAGGGGGACGAAACTCCCATCGTTGTCACTTTCACTAAAATCCCAAAATATATGTCTCTCCCATTCATCATCCACCTTGTGCCCCATGGAACTTAGCTATTTCCTGGTCCCTACCACCCTCCTCCTTGTCAAGCCTTCTCACTGGGTGCTCAGGTGCTGCTGGAAATGTGGACCTAGACCACCGTTAGGCAGACTCAGGCCCCACCCCAGACCTGCAGAATCCGAATCTACATTTAAACAGGATCCCCACCTGGTCCATGAGCGTATTGCAGAGGGGGGCGGGGGATCGGCGCTGCTCTAGGGACCCCCCACTCTGGGCTCCCTCCATGTCTGGCCCTCACCTGCTGGTCAGTCTCACAGTTCACATTCAACATGCCCCCCAAAATCATCACCTTCCCTTCTGTCTATCTGCCCCTTCAGCCTGCTTCCCAATGCCAGGAATGGTGCCGGGTCAGCAAGCCAGAAGGCGGTGCCATCCTTGCCTTTCCGGTCCTCCATCCTGCACATCTTATCCCATCGTGACCACATCCGGTCCATCCTGCCTAAAAAACGCCTCACAGACCCTCCGACGTCTCTCCTCCCTTCCTTGCCCTGCCACTTCCTCCCGTCCCCCTTCAACCTGCAGCCGGAGGGGCTCTCTGAAGTACAGACTTAGAGTCCCAATGGGATGCGGAGCCAGGCCAGCCCCTCCCCCGCCCTCCCACATCACAGACAAGCTGTCACTTGCAGTTCCCAGAATACACAGGTTCTCTGTCATCTCCTGACCTTTGCTTTTGCTGCTGCCTCTGTCACATACGCTCCTGCAACCTCAGGCCCTCCTAGGACAATTCCTTCACGCTCCTGGAAGCCAGCCTTGCCCGCGTCCTGCTTAGCTGCTCCTGTCTGGAGCCCCACAATCCTCTCTGCTCCCCCATCAGTTTAGTATGGCTCTTGCCACACTGTACTGCCACTGTCTGCAAATTTTTCCATCTCCCTGCTAGACTGGATGACATGGCATCCGATTCCACCGGGGACTCTCCCCTGCTCCCAACACAGGACCCATTGCAAGGCAAGTGCCTGGTAGTATCTGTTGAATGAATGAATGAAACAAATGCAGGAATGAACAAATGAAGGAATACCCACCTACTCTGCTCCCCTGTACCCTTTCCCTCGCCCCCGCCCCGCCCCACCCAGCCCAGCCTCCACCCACCTGGCACTGGGTTTGGTACTTCTTGGTGGGCCGGCCCACAATGAAGATCTGGGAGGGCGGCAGACCCAGCACGCTGTAGACGGAGATGTCCTTTGTGGAGCCGTAGGCGGCGCTGATTTTGATGAAGCACTGAAACACAGGGCAGCTCATGGAGGAGCGGGGAGGCCCTGCCGAACCGCCCCCCAGGAATCTCCTGCTGGCGGACCCTTTGTCTGCACACTAAAGGACCCAAGCCGTGGGTCTACCCTGCAGGGGCCTGCCCTCTTCACCCCTCCCCTGCACCCCCGGTCCCCACTGTTCTCTGGGCAGGAATATCGGATAGCGGAGGTTATGCAGCAGTGGGGCAAAGCGTCCCTTTGAGTGCCAGGTGTACACGCCCCAGGGCCAGGACTGGAGCCAGTGCTGTGTGGCCTCCAACCTGTGCCGTCCACACCACACCAGCCTGCCGCTGGCTGGCCTGATGTCCTCCTCAGAAGCCTCACCCCAGCTCAGAGCACTGCCCGGCTCCTCCGCATTCCAGCCCCCCCCCCGCCCCCGCCACCTACCCCATGACATCCACCCCCTTGGGAGCGCTCACTATCTCACAGCTCCCCACTTCGAGCACCCCATCAATGCTGTCTTCTTTCCTCCCACTCCCCTGCCCCCCAGGTTCCCTGGAGACTTCTGGTCCCAGGTCACAGCTTGGCTTCCTCCTAAGTCCCACCATCACTGGGATATCGTCTTTAAGGTCCGTAGTGACTGTCACCTCCAAGACTGAACCGGAACTGCCCCCTCTGAACTCTGAATGGTGGCTTTCCCACGCTGACCCCGCTCCTTCCCTCCTGTGACCCTTGCAGCCTCTCTAGCCTCATCCGGCCCTGGTTCTCTGCACGCCTCTCCCGCCTCGCCCCTCCTCACCCTGCCTGGGCTCCCTGCGGCCTCCCTGCGTGCCCTCTCCTCCATCTTGCATTCTCCAGCCGCTCTCCCTCCTCCCGCACCCCCCTGGCCACACCTCAGCTGGAGCCCTCCACAGCCACCTTCTCCATTTCTATAGGCTGGCTGCTGAGAGCTTCCGGAGAGACACAGAACCACGCAGCTCTGGCCCCACACATTCTTGCTGCTCCCCGTCCTCCAAAGAAGCTTCTCCCAATTTTTACTTCCCTCCCTGAGCTGCCACCCAGCCCCGGAGGTCAAAGCTAAGAGGGGGCTTCCTCAGCCCACTGGCCCTCTCCTCATCAGCTGGCTCCCCCACAGCCTGCCTTCAGCCCAAAGGAAGGAGCAGCTTCTTGGTCCCACCCGGTGCCGCCTCCTGATTCTCCCCAGCTCACTCCTGCAACTTCCATCCAGCAAGTCCATCCCCACACACACTGCCCCTCTGAGACCCACCTTCTCTGCCCCTCCCCACGCTCCTTCTGCCCCCTCGGCCCTCTGAGGCCACGCTTCTTCACCGAGGTCATCAGTGTGCAGCCCACATGGCAAGGACGTTTCTCACCAAGCCACACCTCCTCCTCCCTGGTAGGGGAAGCTGCTCCCCCTGGCCTCCCCCGCACCTGGCTCTCGGAGATTCCTGGCCGCCTCTGGCTCCCTGGGGGCCCAGCGCAGCCCTCCTCACCCCCTCCCAGGGCTCCGTTGGCCTGCTTCAGCTGGGGCGGGTGCAGCTTGGGTCCAACGGCCATGCACGCCTCAGCGGGTCCACAAATGAGGTCACCTGCTTCCAGCCTGCACCTTTCCATCTCATTCATTATATTTTGGGTGCCTATCCTGTGTCATCATTGCCCCAGATGCTGGCGACATACTGGTAACAAAACAGACACAAGCTCTGCTTTTGTGGAGACACAAACCTCCATGGAGACTATGGACAGGTCAGGTTAGTAGCGCCTTGGTTCCTCCTGGTTACTCCAGACAGACATCCGAGAGCCCCGCCCTCCCTCCATGAAACCAGCACTGAGTCCTGACAATCTGCCTCCCGATGGGCCTGCGCCTTCCTCCCCATCCCATGGCTACCACCTAGACGCTCATCTTCCTGTCTCTCGTTTGCGCAACAGCTGCCTAACCGACTTCCCAGCTTCTGCTTCTCCCACCAATCTGGTCTCCACAGAGCTGCCAGAGGGATCTTCCTACAGCCCAAATTAGATACTTTAGCTCTTCTGTGGCTTCAAGCCCTTCCATAGCCCCCCGTTGCCCTCGGCAGAGAGTTCCTGGTCTGGGCTTGGTTTCTAAGGTCCTCAAAACCTGCCAACCTCAGGTCCCTGATGACCCCTGGGGCCTCAGCTCCCAGGTGTCCTGGGTCTGACCCTGCACCCCCTCCTGCAGCTCAGAGAACATCCCAGGCTCTTCCTACCTCAGGGCCTTTGCACGTGCTGTTTCTTTGGCCACCTGATAAACTCGTACTCACGCTTCAAGACCCAGCTCCAAAGTTCCCACCTCCTAGAAGCCTTCCCTGCCCTCCCCAGGCAGAGCTGGTCCTTTCTCCTGTTTGCCCATAGGGCGTTTTCTAATTACACCAGATTTACATGTCCTCCCTCCTCTAGATCCGGGATTGGGGGACTTTTTATGTGAAAGACCAGATAGTACAATAAATATTTTAGGCTTAGCACTCTGTTGCAGATACTCAACTGTTGCACTGTAGCTCAAAAGCAGCCATGAACCACACATATAGTGAATCAGCTTGGCTGTGTTGGCAAAAAACTTTATTTATGGACTGAAACTTGAGTTTCATATATCTTTCATGTGTCAGGAAATAGTATTCTTTACTTGATTTTTTCCCCCAACCATTTAAAAGTATGAAAACCATTTGTAGCTCAGGGGCCATATAAAATAGGCTGCAGACCAGCTTTCGCCCCTGGGCCCAGAGCTTGTCAACCTCGGATCTAGCTCAGTGGTTCTCAAAATGTTGCCAGCGCCAGAATCCCCTGGAGGGTTTGTTAAAACACTGGTTGCTGGGCCCCTCCCCAGAGTTTTTGATTCTGTAGCTCTGAGGGAGGGCCAGAGGGCCTGCATTTCTAATGAGCTCCCAGGGGTGCTGTGCCTGGGGTCCTCAGGGCCTGGGGACACAATGTGAGAGCCACACCGCAGCTCTAGGTCACAACTCTGAAGGGCATCATGCTCTTCATGCCCTGGACAGGGCAGAAAACACAATAGGCACTTAGGTGTCTGCTGAATGAACAGCCAAATGCAGAGATAAGAGTGTAGGCTCTAGGGTCAGGAAATAAAGAATGACAGTCCACCTCTGAGATCTTGGGTAAGTCAGGGAGCCTCATCTTTCCCCTCTGTCACTGAGGATAATAAGCCCCATCTTTCTCATGGGCCCACTGAGATCAGCTGAATGTGCTTTGCAAACTGGCCATCGCTTGCACAATGTAAGGTGGTGGGTAAGTGGATGAGGGCCCAATGGGGTTGAGGGAGGAGGGAAGGAGTGAGGAGGAGGGTCCCGGAGGCCACACCCCTGCCCTCCGAGGCCGAAGGCCCGCCCCAGGCAGGACACTCACCTCCTGCACGAGGTTGCGGAGGAAGATGGCCTTCTGCCGCAGCGGGTCATGCACCAGCCCGTCCGAGAAGAAGATCATGCCCTGTGGGAAGTTGTGCTGGGACAGCCACGACACCACCCGCTGCTTCTGCATGTCCGGCCGCCCCGTGATGTAGAGGATCATGTAGCCCAGGTCCTGCCAGTGCCTGGCGAGAGGGCATTGCAGCGTCCAGCTCAGCCCCAGCCCACTGCCAGCCACCCACTGCCCGCCGGCCTGCCCCGCCTGCTGCCTTCCTGAGAAGCTGAGGGGCTGCTTTAAGGAGCACTAGGGAGAACCAGAGGGACCCCCAAATCCACACCTCCCGTTGAGCCCCATGAGTCCTGGATGTCTCTCTTGGGTCGTTCACAGGCACCTCGTGCTCACAGCCACCTGATCCCCGGACTCCTGTGCCCTTCTCTGCTTGTGTCCCCTTCTTTGTGATGCTGCCAACGCAATTCAAGTTTCTGGAGCCAGAGACAAGCGCCTTTGATTCCTCCCCTGTCCTCCTCCAATTAGAATCTTTACTCCATACTCCATACCCTCACTGTAATCCCTTCTTGGATCAGGCCCCTATCTCGCCTGGGTCACTACAAGAGCCTCCTGGCAGGCCTCCTTGCCTCCACTCCCCCCGCTTCAGTCTAACCTGGGCCGTGCAACCTTGGGCAGGTTACTTAACCCCCAGGGTTTCAGTTTCCACTTCTGTGAAATGGGAATAATATTAGCAAATACCACGCAGGCCACCCTAAGAGTGAAATGAATTAATCCCAAATGTTCCTGGCATGCTGTGCTCTACTCAGTTGCTTCACTATTACCCCCTGTGCTGTTTCCATGGTGATGTTTGTAAATCACAAATCTAACCTGATTACTCCTGTGCCTAAAGCCATTCCTGGCTCTCCAGGGCCCTGAGGTCACAAACCCTCTCCTGACTGTGGCCCTGAACCTGACCTCCCAGCCAAGCGGAGCTGCATGGCAGCCCCGGCCAGGCCGGCACCCTGCTGCTGCACACCCCTCCCCTAGGCAGCCTTCATGGCTCTGTCTCCTGTGTTCCCATCCTCCCACCTTTCCAGGCTCCCTCCTCCAGGAAGCTTTTCCTGCTTCCCAAGCAGGATCAGCCTCTCTTCTCCATACCCGTCCAGCACGGCGGGAGGTGCTCTCCGCTGACTTCACGCAGCATCCTGGCTGCAAGAAGTCAGATAAGCCCAGAGCTTATCTGACTTCTTGCAGCCAGGATGCCAGAAGTCAGTGGAGATTGGGTGCTTCCAAATCTGGAAGATGATCTGAGAGATCTGGGGAGGTTTTGTGACGATGCACGGGCCCAGGTGTCACCCCCAGAGATTCTGTTAGTTTGGAGGTGGGGCCCAGAGATCTGTGATGACAAAAAGCAGCTTCTGAGGAGCAGCAAGGCTTGGAGAGCACCACAGAGACCCGGGGAGCCCACCGGGTGGAGGCGAAAGCACCGGAAGGGTCCCCGGAGAGGAAAGACCAACCGCAGCCTCCCTTCCCAGCTGTGGGGGGCCGACTCGGGAGGGGTTGGGAGAAGATGCTGTCACAGGAATGAACAGCCCAGCCTACAAGGCGGCGGTTGACTCCTGCGATGACATTGGGCCTAGGCATGCCCTGATCCTGCAGGGCCAGGGGGCCTTGTGAGGTCAGCAGCCTCCTGGGAGCCCCTGAGCCAGGCCAGCCTTCTCTCCCCAGAGCAACCACTGCTGCTGGGCTAAGGCAGCACAGCCCCTGCCCAACACCAAGAACCCCCAGGACCCGGGATCTGCTCCACTCGGGGGGCTCCGATCACTCGGAGTCCGGGGTCAGGCTCCCATGCCCATGACTTGTTTTCCCCACAGCATCGCGAGACTCCTCCTACTGGGATCTCTCTCTGCATCAGTGCCCAGCACGGAGCCTGGTTTAGGAAAGGGCAGGTGGAGGCAGCGGTAGGTGGAGGGAGGCGAGGAGGGTGGGAGGAACAGAAACGGCACCTCTGTTTCTCTATCGGCAAAATCCTCCTGCGCCCCTCTCAGCAATGCAGTAGCCCCGGGAGGCTGTGTTTCTGGACATCTCCTACCCTGTCCTCAGTTGCTCTCCAAAATCCAGCCGCCCTGAACTTGTTCTGCCTGTCCCCACACGTGCTCTGCTCTTCCCTGCCCTTGTCAGCGTGTGTCCTCCTTCTCGGCCTATCTAAGTCAATCGATTTTCTTCTTTTCACCTTTGTCCACTTGCTAGTATTTGTACAATGGCATGATTGAAAAAATATATATGTATAATCTCCTTCCTTCAGGGGGTATCTCAAATGCCACCTCTCCCTGAAAGCCTACTCTGCTTTCTCTAACCAGCTGAAATAGCCCCCGCCTCTCAATTAGCAATGCATGTTAGCTAGTCTCCAAAGAGGGCCCCTCAGTGAGCCATGAGTCCCCATATTCACACCTTTCCCCTTGGATCTGGGCTGAACCTGCGACTAGCTTGCAATCGATAGAATGCAGTAGAAAGGACACTGTGACTCCCACAGCTGGATCATAAGAAGACTTGCGGCTTCCACCTGCGTGTCTGGGAGCCAGGGGAAGCCCGCCACCTTGTGCAAAGTCTGAATACTCTGAGAGCTGCCGGGCTAGGCCCAGGGAGCAGCCATGTGGAGAGACAGAGCAACCCAGACGAGAACAACAGACACATTCAGAAGCCAGCCCGCTTGAACACCCAGCCCAGTGAGGCCTCCAGACGACCCCCAGCCCAGACCACCTTCTGGCGGAAATTGCTAGAGAGACGCCACATGAGACCTTTCAAAAGAACCCCAGTCAATCTGCAGAACCGTGAGACCGAATAATAAATTATTCCGTTAAGCCGCTAAGTTTGGAGCCATTTGTTACACAGCAAGCGATCGTCAGAACACACCGATTTTATCCTGATTGGGGTCAGAAAGTGTGAGACCAGGGCTGATTCACTGCAGAGAGAGCTCAGATGGAGTTAGAATAAATGGAGGATGGAATTAGAATAAAAGGGAGGGAGGGGGAAGCGAGTCTAGGAGGCGGCGGGAGGATCCCCAAGGACGCTCAGTGCATTAATATGGGAGGTGAAGCCAGGACTTGCCGGCCCCTGGCCCAGGGACCAGTGGAATTCCTAGGGGAAACCAGAAAACACACATCCATGCCCCCCGGGCCTGCTAGCTCCTGCCCAGGGGGGACGTGTCCCTTGCAGGGAGGCAGCACTCACCGGACAACGTCCACAGCCCCAGGCCGGACCTTGGGGTCACTTCCCATGATGGACACGCTGGCCGCAAAGGACCCGTCGATGCTGAATACCACGCACTCCATGCCGCGGGGCAGCACCGTGAGGTAGCTCATCGCACAGGTCTGGTCGCCCCTGGAAGGTACCACCGGGGGTCAGCCGTGCGCTCAGGGTCAGGTGTTAGCCTGAGGCCGGAGGTCAGCACCACTGGGGTCAGAGCTCCGTCTGGGGCCAGGGCCAAAGGGAGTCTGGTAGTGACCTTGTCCGCTTCTCTCTCTCCCCACAGAAGGATGAGGCCCCAAAGAGGGCACCCTGAGGACCCCATCTCCTGGGTAGGCTAGGCTGGAAAGGTCATGAAAATGGGTGGAACGACCACGAGAAGTTTGCCAGGTCTCACCTGACGACCATTTTGACGGGGTAGACGCCCACACCCAGGCGCCGGGGCCGCGGCACGCTGTACGTGATGCGGCCGCTGCTGTTGGTGATCTCCGTGTCCAGGTGCACCCAGCGGCCCGAGGACGGCTCCGCCATCACCAGGATGTCCACCTGCAGGAAGCAAGGGGGCCGGGGACTCACTGAAAGCTGTGGGCGGCGGACGGCTGCAGGCTTGGCTTCGGGGCTCGGCCAGGGACCACTCTGCCAGAGCGTGGGGTCCTGCCTGACACATCCGGGCCCCTCCCATCCTCTCTCTTTCTACCGCAGCCACGCTGGCCTCTCATGCACCAAGTTCAGCCCTTGCTCCTCACCTCTCCCTGGCAGGCTGCCTCCCAGCTCAGCCCTCCCAGAGCCCTCGCCCCACGTGCCATACGGTACCATGAGGCACCTGGTGCACCCGTGGTCGGTCAAGGAGGGGATGGCCCAGCCCCTGTACCTTCTCTCCCGTCAGAGCCACCATATCGAGGGGCCCGTACATGAACCGTCCCACCAGGACCTGGGGGCCGTCTTCGGCAGCAATCACGTCATTGGCCCGGTGGTTAGCAGTGACATTCTGGAAGGACAGAAACCAGCTCAGCTTTGGCAAGTGGGGCTGGACCTTGCGTTTTCATTGCATTGTCCTTAGCATTGGCTGGAGGGACTTGGATGTGTCAAATCATGTCTCCCTATTAACCTGCCTTAGAGTTTCTGAGATGTGTTCCCATGGAACCCATGAGAAAAACAGACCCTTAGACTCTAATGCTGTCCCCAGGGAGTGCTGGGGTCCCTGGAGATGGGCATTCTCTGTTCTTGATCCTCCCCCATGGCCCTGAGGAACCGCTGGTCCTCATAGCCTGTCATCCTCCTAGGTTCCTAGGCTGGAAACTGACAGGCACATTTGCCTCTTCCTTCCACATCCCTACTCACATCCAATAGCCATTTACCACCGTCTCCTCCTGGTGAAAGGTTTCAAACATACAAGAGTAGAGAGAACAGTGTAACAAAGTCCCGTGTGCCCGATACCCACTCACGGCCACTCTGATGTCCTGCCCTGGCTGAACCCCGACCCCAGCCCACCCCGGATGATTTTGGAGCCTTCCTGGACATCACATCACTTTATCTACGATCCCAACACTCCCGCCCTTCTTCATTTCTGGTTCCAATTCATTCTGCAGCTCAAAGGCTTCCATTGGCCCAACCACCCCGACTCGGTCTGGCTTCAGCGCCCGAGTCGCTCAGTCTGGTGGCCCTTCCTTCACAGAACTGTCCTCCTGGTTTCTCTCCCCACACCTGTGTGACCTCCCACCGGCACTCTGCTCGTAGCTTCTTAATGAAGCTCCTTATTCAAAAACAAGCCCCATGGCAGACCCGTCGTCTTTATAAAGCACAAAGCCGCTGACACCCAGTGCCGTCTGAATAGAGTCCAAATCCCAAGCTCAGCGTCAAAGCCCTGCGCGGGCAACCCTTTCGGTCTTCTTTCCCGCTGCTCCCCTTCCGAGCCCCGCCCGTCCTTTCAGGTCAGGCTCTGCGTGGCCGCCAGGCCTTTGCTCACGCCGGACCCCCATTCTACACGCCCTCGCTGGCCTCCTGCCCCCGTGCTCCAGCCCCTCACTGTGACCTGGCTCAGCTATGTCCCCCCCAGAAACAATGCTTGGATTCCCCAAAGAGGGCCTCTGCCTCCTCTCCACTCCCGCGGTCTTTCAACTCAATTCAACAGACGTCTGCAGTCGCCTCCTCTGCACTCGTCCCTCAGCTGGGCTTCGTGGACACAGAGCAACCAGTCATTAACCCTGCCCTGGTGACACTGTCAAGTGCGGGACGCAGGCCCCCTTCGCAGGAACACGGGACAGGGGGAGGGGGCGTAGATTCATGGAAGCAGACGCATGGAAAGATGCTCGACCTCACCAGCTGTCAGGGCAGTGCCAATGAAAGCCACAGTGAGACACCGTTTCAGACCCACCGGGATGACTAGAATTGGAGACAGATACCAAGTGCTGGCGAGGGTGTGGAGAAACCAGAACCCTCCTGCCCTGCTGGGGGGACGGGAGATGATGCTGTGTTGTTCCATTTATGTGAAATGTCCAGAATAGGCAAATCTACAGCGACAGAAAGTAGGTTACTGATGGTTTAGGGCTGGGGGTAGGGGAGGGGGAATGATAACCAAAGGGTAAGGGGTGTCCTTTGGAGGAAATGAAAATATTTTAAAATTGGCTTTACACACAAGGGTGCATACATGTGTGAATATATTAAAATTCATTGAATTTTAGGTGGGCGAATTGTATAATTCCTGAGTTATATTTCAATAAATATGTCCAAAGAAACAGTCAATTCATGGAACGCTGGTCCCCCTCTACCTTTTATTTATTTTTTTAAGATTTTATTTATTTTTTTATGTATGTATGTATTTATTTTTAGAGAGGGGAAGGGAGGGAGAAAGAGATGGAGAGAAACATCCAGTGGTTGCCTCTCATGCGCCCCCTACTGGGGACCTGACCCACACCCCAGGCATGAGCCCTGACTGGGAATCCAATTGGCGACCCCTTGGTTCGCAGGCCAGCGCTCAATCCACTGAGCCACACCAGCCGGGGCCCCCTCTCCTTTTCACGGCTGTTGGTGGGGTCTGCGTCTGATCGCCCCCGCGGTGCCCCCCTAGCGGTGCCTGTGTCTGTAAATCCCTGTCCTCCACTCACCCTCTAGAGGAGCGCCTGGGACCAATGGCCTGAACTGTGCTTCCTGATCAAGCACAAGTGTATACACACCAAACTCCTATTTATACTTCAGCGCCTTTAGAGGGACCCTTCATGGCAGCCCCGCAGGGTCTGCCCTGCAGTTCTCCTCCCCACCCTCTTCCTGGCCTGTGCCCGCCTCTGCCACGGCCAACGTCTCTCCCGGTCATGCGTGGTGAATCAGACCGTGCGCCCCGTGGCCCGGGACAGGGCTCGTCGCAATTCCCATCCCCATCTGCAGAGGCCTGGCATGGAGCAGGTGCTCCCGAACTGGCATCTCACCAGCCCCTGGGCCCTGGGCCCCCATTCTTGGGGCTTTTGTGGAGTCGGGCCACCCGGAACCAGCTCTCCCATCTCGTGTGGACCCCAGCCCCCGCCCCACCCCGCGGCAGCACCACGGGCCTCATCTAAGCACCAGGCCCAGCCTGTGTGAGCGCTCAGCTCTGAGGGGCAAGTCCAAGGCCTTCCCTGGCACGTGGATGCCCCAGCCCTGGGGCAGCCCATGTCCCCGAGGCCACGTCCCAGCCAGTGTGCAACTCCAGCAAGCACGCACCCGCAGCTTGACCTGGGTCCTCTTACGAAGCCACTTCTCTCGGGGGTTAGCAGGGCTCAGTGCGGCAGGATCCAAGCCAGCGCTCTCCTTGACGTTCACGCTCTCATAGCGCATCACCTGATCGACAGGGGCAGGACTCCAGGTCAGGCCACCTCAGCCCCTCCCCCTCCTTCCCAGGGTGTCAGGGCCCATCCGCTTGTGGCTGGAAGGCCCTCCTCCAAGCCTCCCCACCTCCCAGGAGGCCAGGAGGCTGGAGGCCTCAAGGCCCTCGTCCCTGCCTGGCCCCCCCCCGCCCCCACTCCACCGTCCTGACAGCCAGGGCCAGAGCACAGTCTCACAAACGCCCTCCAGCCTGGGAGCACCTCTTCCCTCCACACTCAACATCTCCCCGCATAGGTGCCCACTCTCTGCCTTCCCTCCTGTTACGGGGAGGCCGGGAGGCCGCCCTCACCTGAAGCCCTGATCCCAGCCCCTCCCACCCACTCAAGGTCATTGCTCCTGGAGCACAGCTTCTCTTAAGCAAACGGACTGATTTGTCCCTCACCACTGAGCCATTCTCTTTTGCAAACAAATACACGTGGTCGATCGACCGCGCTCACCATAAGAAAAAAACACTCTCCCTCCGACCCTTGGTGGCTCTCCGATGACCACCACACTTCTCTGCTCTCCCTTACTCCATGCTCAGTCTCCCGTTCCCTCCCTGCCTCTCCCCGGCTGCCACTCCAGCCGGGCTTCTGTCCCCCTTGCTCCACTGAAGTCGTTCCTGCCGAAGCCCCGCCCATGAGTCCATTCGGCCCCGTCTCAACGGTCCACTCGCCCCCACCCGCCTCGGTTCTCCCCCGCCCTGACCGTGAGGGAGGTCTCCTTCTGTAGCTCCTCCTCTCTCCCCTGTGGAGCTGCAGGACTCAGCCTTGACCTTCTCTATCTAATGGGAATTCCTCTCCCCTCCCCTCCGTGTCTGTGGTGTTGGGATTTATCATAAGCAATATGTATTTGTTTTTTTTTTAATCCCTATTTATGGCACAGAGCTCCTAAAACCCCCGTAATTGTCTAAGTGATGAGAGCAACAAAAGTGTCTCTTGGTATGTTAGTGAGGTGACTTTTGGGGGCCGGTTGCCAAGGGAGCCAACCAGGTGAACAGAGGGTTTGAACTTTCAGTCCCAACCCCTAACCTCCAGAGAGGGGAGAGCGGCTGGCCTTTGGATCAGTCACCAGCGGCCAATGATTTGATCAATCACGCTTATATAATAAAGCCTCCATTAAAACCCTCCAAAAAGAGGGCCCACAGCGCTTCTGGCCTGTGAGCACGTGGAGGTTTGGGAAGAGAAGTGTCCCCAGAGAGAGCAGGGAAGCTCCAGCCATTTCCCCACACCTTGCCCTGGGCACCTCTTCCCTCTGGCTGTTCCTGAGTTATATCCTTCTATAATAAACCAGAAATCTAATAAGAAAAATGTTTCTCTGAGCCCTGTGAGCCACTCCAGCAAATTAATCAAACCCAAGGAGGGGGTGATTGGAACCTGTGATCAGCCCGTCAGAAGCCCAGGTGACAACCTGGACTTGCAATTGGCACCTGAGGGGGGTGGAGGTCACACTTGTGGGACCGAACCATTACCCAGTGGAATCTGAGTTGAATTGTAAGACACCCCACTGGTGGCGTTGAATTGCACGGTGTGGGGAAGAAACCACACATTGGAATTGGTGTCAGAATCAGAGCGTTGTACTTGTCACTAGCTTTAAATGTCATCCAAGCGCTGATGACCCCACATTTTTATCTGTAAAGCTGACATCTTCCCTCAGCTCCAGACTTTATACTCACCTTCCTTCTCAACACCTAACAGGCATCTCACCTTCCCAGGTCCACAGCCAAGACTCGGTCTCCCCACCCCAGCTCGCTCTCCCCCCGCCCTACGGAGTGGCACCGCTGTAAATATTCAAGTGTAACAGGACCTGCTGGCCTCCCCTCTCCTTTCCAGCCCAGAAGTCAGCGAGTCCTGTCACCACAGCTCAGACCCGCACCCAGCTGAGCTCCTCAGCACCTCCCCTACCCGCACCTTAGCCCGTGCCACCATCTTGAACTTGGGCTCCTGTGCTTGCCCATCGCGGGCCTCATGCTTTCTCCCCCAAATGGCAGTGGGTCTTCCTTGTAAAAATCCAAGATATCTCTTCCTTGCTCAGAAACCTGTACAAGCTTCTGACTGGACCCAGCATAACATCAAACTCCTGACCTTGGCCATGGAGGCGGCCTGGGACCAGACCCCTCCCCCCCCCCCCCCCCCCCCCCAGCCCCACCAACATGCACACTTGGCCGAGGGCTCCAATGACTGCCCAATGGCCGACGGGGCCTGCAGGGCAAGCCTCTTCTCCAGACACAGAAGGACGGGGCCCTGCAGAGGGGCCCTGCAGGCAGAGCCCGGAAGGGGCAGAGTACCTGTCTCAGGATGAAAGCCACCACGTCCGTGGACTCCCAGTAGCTGGCGTGGAAGAGGTGGGGCAGCGCCACGGTGGGGAAGGCCGTGAGGACCTCGGGGCAGTACAGGGCGTAGTCGATGCGCTTGGTGCCCCACCACCTGGCTGTGACTGCGGGGCCGAGAGGGACGTGAGGACAGGGCAGCCTGCCTGGGGCCTGTACCCAAGGGACAGTGCGGGACCCTCTTGTGCAGGCACAGCGGTGGATACTCCACGCGGGGCACAAGTTTGAGCACCCAGCTCAAAATGAGCTCTGGGACCTAAGCTGTTTCCCTTCCCACCTCCCACCACCTCCCTCCTCTAGGACATGGGCTGCAAACTTGTCCCTGAGGAAGGGGACCCATGCAGACATCCACAGTCTCACCCCAGGGCTGCTGGCCAGCCAGGGTTCCCAGTTGGGGAACCTGAATATTGTGATCAGGGCTCTGCCTGAGGTCAGAGCTCTGTCCACAGTCAGAGGTCAGGGCCCTGTCTACAGTCAGAGGTCAAAGTTCACTCTGAGGTCAGAGTTCAGTCTGGAGTTCCATTACCCCTCCTCCCCCACCCTCAGAGCTCTGGCAATGGACCAGCAGCCACCCAGAGGAGGGTCCCGAGGAGGGTCCCAAGGAGGGCCCCAGAAGCCTCTCACTCACTGCGGGAGGCTCCAGCGGGGGCCAGGCTGTCGGAGGACTCTGAGCTGTCACTGCGGGAGCTTCCCTGGCTCATCCTCCGCCCTGGGCGCTGGGACCGCGGGGCCTGAGAGGGTGAGGCAGGGGCGTCCAAAATCGGCGGGCTTCCCCGGGAGCTGCCCTCCAGGAAGAGGGAGCTGTGGGTGTGCAGGGCATCAGCTGGAGGGGGAATTTCATGGTTAGGGCCTAGAAGCAGACCTCCAATAGAACCACCGCCCTCCCCGCCCGGTGCTGTGCCAGCTCCATGGTGTGCGGGAGGCTGGGCACTCAGAGAAGATGCTCCTCCTCCTCCCCCACCACCCTACACACTCACCTGCCCAACAGGCGCCCTGCATCCCTCACCCCTCCAGAACCCACCATAAGGAGCCGTTGGTTTCCATGTCCTCTGACTTGTAGGTTATGCAGGCACAAGTCATAGTCCCCACCGGCACTCCCACCCCTAACAGAGCTACTGAAGGCTTCTTGGGGGGGTGCCCTCAAGGCCCCAGGGGAGGCCACGGGTGGCCCATAACCGTGTGCTCTTGTATCAGACTTCTCTCCTGTGCTACAGAGGACTGTGGCTGAGCCCAGAAGCCAACAGGGACTTCCTCCTGGGAGCTAGGGTGCTCTCTGGGGGCAGGGGAGTGCCCTGAGCAAAGACGGGCACATTTTAGGATGGGGGAGGGAGGTTTTAGAGCCTTTCTATCTGTGGAAGCTCCTGACAAAGCAGGACTTTGGAAATTAAATTTTCATCACAATGGGTTGGGAGTTGGTTTTCAATCCTGAATGAGCCACATGCAGAGCATTCCCCCCTGCCTGCTGGGCATGCCCCCCCCTCAATCTGGCCCCAAACCTCTGAACAGGCTCTGGGGCGTGGAGCCAAGACTCTCCTCTGTGAGCCCTGATTGGCCATTACAGGTGTCCCCTTACAACACCCCAGTTCATGCCCATCTCACCGCACTTGAGCCCTGGAGGCCACTGGCCGTCCCTCGAACCCAACTGCCCTCACTTCTGCTGTTCCTTCGACCTAAAAGATCTTCTCCAGCCCCCTTCTCCAGCTCGTCGACACCTGTCCAAATGCCTTGGTCAAAAGCCCCCTCCTCCATGAAGCCCACCGGGATGAGATACTCCCTGCTCTGTACCTCCAGGGTCCAGGCTGGGCACTGGGCAATGGCACTCAGCTGGGCCCCTGGGCTTTCAATCAAGTCCGAAAGCTCAAGTATTATGTTGGCCCAGAGCTTAGCCAGGAGCTCATCACGGGCAGAGCTTGGGCCTCTCTGAGCCCCAAGATGGCTCCCTCCAGAGCAGGTGTTCACACAGGTGGGCTGCTCGGAAGGCAGGTGACCGAGCAGTTTGCCTGCCCTAGCCCCCAGGAGCACACAGCCCCTGTTCAGTTGGGTCTAGTCACTCCATCAGCTTTACAGCTTGAGAGGCTGGGCCAGAGATGGTGGCCCTGGAGTGCCCCCTGGCTGGGGCCCAGCCCTGGCTCAGTCTGCTCTGTCACACTCTGGGAGCCTACCGAGGAGGAGGGACTGTCCATCGCCCAGCGGGAACCTCTGGTAGCGTGGCACGCTGACAGGCGGCACCAGGTGGAACTTGGGCTCCAGTAGCGGCTCAAGCCGTGAGGCAGAGGGGTCTGCGCAGTGGAAGAAACTGTAGACCTGGCTGCAGGCAGGGCGCACCTGGAATCCTGCGAGAATACAGAGGGAAAGCCCCTTGCTGGTACCTGCTCCCTCGGCCTTCGATGGCTTTTGTGAGTGCAGCTCTGAGCGGCCTGCTCCTCTGCTCAAGAAATGCAGCGGCTCCCTGCTACCAACGGCAGCAAAACTATCAGCTGCAGTCTGGCACTCACAGCCACGCCAGCCTGCCCCACATGAGGGCACAGCTACAGGCACCCAGCTCAGCTGCCGTGGCGGCCATCTGACCCTCCCCGTCGGAGGGTCGGTCAGTCTTGCTGGGTTCCTTTCTCTGTGCCTCTGCTCAAGCTGCCCCTCCCTCCAGCAGGCCCTTCTTCCACTCTCTCTACTAGTCAAACTCCTTTAAATTCTTCCAGCTTTCACTTAGTTGCTATCTGATCTCTGAAGCCAACTCCAGGTTTGCAGAGGTCCTGGCTTGCGAGAGTCAGAGGTACTTCTCCCACAGGCCAGAAGGTGTCTCCACTGAGGCCTCTGCCTAGTCGGTGCGTCTCCCTATCCCTCTGCGCCTCGGGACTGGACTGTCCAGCATCCAGCGAGCCCTGGGGTTCTTTAGTGCCATCAGGGCAACGGTGGGGTTTTGCCTCCTCTCCCTACTTCAAGCAGAGTCCCCCCCCCACCCCCCCCATTTCTCTGTTCTGTATCGTAGGCTGTAGGTAAACTTTGGTACAAAAGAAGTTTGAGAAGCCCTGGTCTGTTCCTCTCCAAGGTGCTTCCAGACTCTTGCATCCTCAGAATCATTACTTAACGACCTGCTGGTGCAAACCACCTCAGTGTGCATTTTAGAGGATGGAGGCAGCTTTGAGGCTGTGGGTAGCGGGTGACAAAGGCACTGGCGTGGGCCTGGCTGTGTGCCCGGTCTGCAGTGCGTCTGCCTGGACACTGGGGAAGGAAGGGTGGGTACAATGGGGTAAATATTTACAGTTTCTCTTCCCACAGAGCATGACAGCTGAACAAGAGGGCCACAAAATCATCTGGGGGCACGTGACAAGGACAGGGAAATCCACCAGAAGCTACCTCACCTTTGTTCCATCTGGGGAAACTACCCTACTCTTCCTCCTCTGCCCTCCCCCTCCTACTTCTCCTCTCCTCTGTCCACCAACCCCAACTCGGGGACCCTCTCCCCACCTGCCCCCGACCTCCCCACACTCCCTGATTGGAGGTGCTAATGCAGTGTGGCCCAGGACACAAAGGCACGCGGGCCCCAGACCACGGCACACCTACCATCCAGCCCGGGCAGCACCGTCCTCCGCATGGCCAGGACCAGGCCGAGGGGCGAGCCGAAGAGGAAGAAGTCGGACACATCGAAGTCCAAGCGGCCCAGACTGACCTCAGGGAGCTGGGGCGCCCCCGCCACGGGGGGCTCGGCCTCATCCTTCAGCATGCTCGAGTGGATGCTGCAGGAGCGGGGAGGACACGGGTCGGGGGGCGGGTTAGGGAAGGACCACAGACGTGAAGTATTTACTTAGCAGGGAGCCTCCAGTCGGTGTGGAGCCCAGATCTCCATCTCCGGGCAGGGCCCAGAGCCGGAGTCCACTCGCCAGATGCCATCACGCGCGTTGCAAGCGTCTCGGCACTGGCCACCGAGGCCAGGCCAACACTTGGCTAAGGGAGGGGTCATCAGCCAACATTTTCCATAAAGGACCAGGTGGTAAATATTTTAGACTTTGAGGGCCATACGGTCTTCATCACGTCTACTCAACTCTGCCGTGTAGCACACAAGCAGCCGTAGATGACACTTAAACAACTATGCGCAGCCAGTAAAACTTGATGTATTAAAACCAGCTGAGAGCCCGAGCACATCTAAGCGTCCTACACACTGGCAGGCCTGCCCCATCCCGCTGGTTCTGTGGTGGCCACACCGGGAATTCCTGCACCGTCTACCACAGAAGCCCAGCTGGCCAGTAGACAGACCGGCTGGGGGATGTCGGTCCTGCCAGGATTAGGGCTTTGATTGTAACTCATGTTCCAGGCGTCCTGCAGACACAGATGCAAACAGCTTGGTCTTCCCTCCCCACTAGCCTGCAGACGAAGCAGAGCTTAAAGAGAAAATGTCAAGACACGGAGTTCCAGTCATTCACCTCCCTGGCTCCCATTGCTCCAAAGAGTTCAGGCTGATGCTTAGCCACAGGCCCAGAGCGGGCCGCCCGGGATGGGCAGGAAAACTGGGGGCCTCCCTGACCTTCCAGCTGGCATCTGACTTTAAGACAGTCCAGTAAATTGGATTGCATGGATTGTAATACTCAGGGATTGCATGATTTTTTTAAAAGATTTTATTTATTTACTTTTAGAGAGAGGGGAAGAGAAGTAGAAAGAGAGGGAGAGAAATATCAATGGGTGAGAGAAACATCGATTGGTTGCCTCTCACACTCTCCCAACTGGGGACCTGGCCTGCAACCCAGAAATGTACACTGATTGGGAAACAAACCGGTAACCTTTTGGTTCAAAGGCTGGAGCTCAGTCCACTGAGCCACACCAGCCAGGGCAGGATTACATGATTTATGCAAACTTAACTAACACACTCCAGCTGGAGGAGAAAGGGAATGGTAGAAATCACCGCTGAAGCAGTGTGTGAATGAGGGTCCTGAATCCCACACTCCTCTGCCTCTTGCGCTGTGAGCGTCTCCCCGTGACAACGGTGACTCTGGTGTTGAACAACACATATTTCATGTACAGCGTGGTCCCTAAACACACGCCAACTACTTAATTGCCAAAGAAACAGCCATCTGTCCCTGCACCAGAGGGAAAAACTGGCGGTGTTGGACCAGCTACTGAAAGCCTCCAACTTCTTGTCACTCCAAATCTGGGGCTTTCTTAAAGGATTTTTCAAGGATGAACCAGAAATGTGGAGATTTTACCTTGCCACCGGACTTGAAATGTAACTGCTTTTCTAAAGAATAATCTGTCAGAGGGGCTTTAAATAGTCAGAGATTTAATTATGTGGCACCTTTGACTTAATAATTCCCCCTCTGGAAATCCATGCAAACAAAATAACCCTAACATATACATACATGTTTATGCACAGAGATGGTCACCAGAGTGCTATTTATAATTTTGAAGAATTGGAAACAGCCAAAGTGTCCAAATGTTCTCCATTTTCTCAACAAAATATTGTTAAGAATATCTACCAACTATTTTTAATTATATGGGGGAAAAGATTACAATGTCAGGGTTTTAAGTAAACCTAAAAGCAAAGCATGTAAAAAATACACTGAAATTCTATTTTCTAAATGCTGAACTGACCTCATCCTATTCACCACTTGGATAAAAAAGAAGGAGGGTGTGAAGGAGGAAAGAATTGAGAAGAAAGGGAAGAAGAAGCATTCCTTCTAATTGGTCTGTGCGCAATACCCCATGTATATCCTGAATCAATGTGCAGACAACTCAGTCAGCCAGTGTTGGCGAACACGTCTCCTCTAGAAGGTTACAGAATGGACATTCCGCGGGGGTCCTGCCTGGCCTACCAGTAAAAGTGTGCGTTCCGGGGACTGGGAAAAGCAGTGTGCTGACCCCAGCTCTGCCTGTGTGACCCCAGGAAAGGTCCCGACTTACTGAGCCTGTAGTGTCTTATATGAGAAATGATAGGAGCACACACCTGCAGTAGCTCACAAACACATTTAACGTACATCTGCTCTTTTACTAGGTTCTTAAAACCATTGACGGAGAAGGCTGGGCGGCATTTACCATTTTGCAGAAGATGAAACTGAAGCTCAGGGGTGTGACACTTGTTGTCCCCTCCCTCTGAAAGTTGGGTGGAGCAGGGACAGAAGGCAGGGTCCCGGGTCTCAGCCCAGGGTCCATGGGTAGCAGCCTTGGTCCCAACGCTTGCCTATGGGCCCCCATGGAAGGATGGGGGACAGAGGACTGGTCCTAAGCATCCCACATGATTCTAAGCCAAGGTACTCTCTGCTCTAGATGCTTTGCCAGAAGGAAGGTGGGGCACAAGGAGAGGTTACCTTGATAGGAAGGCGTGATGCTGGGTGATGGCCTCGCAGTCATAGGTAGAGGAATCGCTCTGTTTCCGTGGCAACGGCCTCTTGGGCTCCTCTTCCTCCGGCGCAGTGGAGACGTCAATGCTGCTCTTGCTGAGCCGCTTGCTGCCCGCCAGGCTGCAGTCCTCCTCCACCGCAACTGGGCTGTCCTTTGGGACCAAGGAGAGGACAGGAGGGCACTGCCGTCACTGGAGCCTCTGGGGCCCTGCCTCCTCCCCCAGGCACAAGTAGGCCCTTTCTTCTCGACGTGAGAGGCGGCACCTCTCCCAAGAGAAGCATGACAGCCACGGCACAATCACAGTGGGAGTTAAGTCCCAGGACCGTCTCCTGCATCCAAAGGGACCGGCGACTCAGTGGGACCTGGGCAGCTGTCTGGGGACCCAACCCCAAATGAGACCCCTCTGGGCCTCAGTTTCCTCACCTGTGAGAGTAATCTCTTGCTACTCTTACAAGATTGTGATACAATACTTTGTCACTCGGATGTCATGAGGCACACATTGCGGGTTAACATGACTGCCCTCAGAGAGGCCCCTGCTCCCGAGGACGGACCCCTCCACCGCTCCCGCCCTCCTCTGGCCGCACCTGAGTGCTGCTGATGCTCCCCTTCCGGCTGCTGCTGCCTGGGCTGTCGCCTGAGGGCCCCGCACTGTAGCAGATGGCATCAAAGGCCAGGAGGCCCCCCACACAGTCCCCGATGAGACACACCTGGAGAAGGCACAGCTGGGACTACAGGCCTGGCCGCTGCTGACCCTTCCCCCCCCTCCCCCCATCCAGAGCACTGGTCACCTAGAGAACAAGGAACCTGTTGCAGGGAGGCCTGAGAGAGCACCAGTAGGGGGCAGGGTGCTGCTTCTGAGGCCAGGGTCAGGCTGAGGACAGGAACAGGCTAGAGCCAGGGGTCAGACTGGGGCCGGGGTCAGCCTGAGGACAGGAACCAGGCTAGAGTCAGGGGTCACACTGGGGCCAGGGTCAGCCTGAGGACAGGAATCTGGCTGGGGCAGGGGTTAGACCGGAGCCAGGGTCAGTATGAGGACAGGAGCCAGGCTGGGGCCAGTGATCAGGCTTGGGCCAGGGACCAGCATGGGCTCACAATCAGGACTGAGATGTTGGCCTCAGTTTTCCTATCTATAAAGTTCGGACAAACTCTCCTTGGATCTCAGAAACTGTGGCTCCTGAACAGCCTGGTCTAGATCTTTTGGGCAGATCCAAGTCCCTCTCCAGGTGGGGCGAAGGCGGGGCGATGGGGACAGGCCGTCCTACCTGCCCACTGAAGCCAATGCCATCAGGGGACTTGAGGAACTCTGCGTAGGCCTGGTTGGCTCGCTCGATGACAGTGACAACCGCATCCTGGTACTGTGGGGAGGAGATGGCCAACAGGGGCAGCGCGGCCAGAGGGACGTGGTCCTGGCTGTTGCTGAGACAGCCCTCATCGTGGCTGTAGGGGTTCAGGCTGCAGACAGGGGACCAAGGTGAGCCCAGCCGGGGTCAGCATGGCGGGGGGTTTGGGGCTTCGGACTGGGCAGGAGGGAGCACGTACTGGCCAGGAACAGGGCTCTCCGCTCCGGGCTCTTCCCGAGGACCCAGGCAGGGGCCAGCGAGACAAAGCACAGCGGGTGGGCAGGTCAAGCCTGTGCTGACTCCCCTGTGTCCACCTTCCACCAGCCCGTCACGTGGGTTTGGGAGTCTCCTGTGACATAGCTCTCTCCTGCCCTATTCTGCACGGCACCAAAAAATACACCCTGATTGTGGGAGAAGCCACTGGTGTGGATCTGGGAGGGGATGTAGCATCATGGCCGACTTCCTAGGGGAGGTGGGGTTTGAACTAGGCCTCAAGGAAGGCTTTAGGGAAAGTAGAAAGGAGAGAGGGTGTGCCAAGCATGTCACACCTTGGGGTGGGTGGGGGGCAGGACATGGCTGTTTGCTTGGTATTGTGTCTGTCTTTCTGGGACAGGGATCCAGAGCCTTCACAGGATTCGCAGGAAGGTCTGTGACCCAGAGAAGGACAAGGAGAGCCTGCCCGACCACATTCTCACTACCAGTGGGTTGCCCTGCACCTGCATGTGCCCCCCTCGCCTCCCTGCCTCCCACTGGGCAGGCCAGGCCCACCTGGGCCCAGCTCCCAGCTGCCTGCCCCCTTCCCCACCTCAACTGTCCTGTCTCTGTCCCCTGTGGCACCGGACCCAGCTGGCCAGGAGGGACCACAGGGGGCGGACTGCCCAACCCCTACCCAGAGCCTGCCCTTCCCCCAGAGCCTAAATTCAGGCAGGTGACAGGGCTGAGGGACCCTGGGCAGGTGAAAGAGACCTCCTGGCATGCAAGGCCAGCCTAACAGCCATTCCTCATCTCCAAAGAACACAAATTAGAGGAAACAGGCCTCGATTGCCGCCGAGAGATTTTAATTAGCTGGGAAAGAGCTCCCTCCCAGCGGTGATTAGGGCTGATGGATGGCCTGGCAAGGCTCTGCCTGGGGGAGAAGTCCGCTCCCTCCCGCTGTCCCCTCGCTGTCCCCCCAGGGGCTGGGCCATCCATCTTCCTGGGGATCAGGCCAGGGCTGGGTGACCCAGCTCTGGGGGTCAGATGTCCCAGAGGCAGGGGGTCAGGGGGATCCTGAGATAGATTATGAATGAGCCCAATTAACTCCGATTGCTGGAGTGTGAAGGCACTGTCGAGTGTGAAGGGGGTGGCGCCTCCTCAGCTCAGTCCCCCAAATCCTGCTGCAGGGCAGGCACGGAGAGCAGATTAATCTGTTAAAGGAGCAGATTCCAGGGCCCTCCCTGGCCTGCCCAATGCAGACACCCTGCAGCCCTGTGGTTCAAGGAGGACGACACAGGCATTCGGGCCCTTAGCCAAGTTGGGGACCTACTGACCTAACCTTCCTTCCAGCTCTGATTGAGATCTATCCTGCCTGTGGCCTGGAGCGCAGAGAAATCAGAGGCAGGTCTCCGCTCCCTGGGCAGAGCCAACCCCTCCTTTCACGGGCCACAAAAGTAAGTGAGGCCCAGCATGCCCTCCCCTCCAGCACTTCTGCCCAGCAGGAAGCAGCGGGCAGGCCTCCTGCCCCCGCTGGGCCTGCTGAGCCCTGTTCTGGGCCATGCCTGACCGGCAGGCTGGGATGTCTCGTCCACCTGCCCCAAGCACCACATAGGTGAGGGCTCCTCTCTTCGAAGCCTCAAGGTCCTGGCAAAGTTAACATGAAAGGGAGTGATGGGTAGGACAGAGGTGTTCCTGGCCTCCCTTCCCTCCCTAACTGCAGAAAGTTCCCGGCTCCCAGTCCCCACGGTCTGCCACAGGCCCCATGCGACGTGTCCTCTGCAGGTGCTCAGGCCTCCTTTGCCTCCGTTATCTGTGAGCAGCCTGGCTCCTAGCTCCCATCTTTGGCTCCCGGCCACTTCAAGAGGTCAGGGGCCTGGGAAGCACAGAGCTGCCTGCTCCTGAAGCAGTGGGCGTGGTCTCCCACGGGCCCCCATGTGCTAGTGGGGCCCCTGGTCTCCCTGGTTAATCCCCCACAGGGACCAGGGCAGGTTTGGATGAAGAACCCAGGCCTGGTAAGCACGCCGCCTTGTCCCCCCGACCCAGGTGCTCCGCTGGGCGTCAGGAACACCTCCCCTCCCCGGCACCTTGTCCACCAGTGGAGACAGCACCTTCTCCCTGTGAGGACAAAGACGTGTCACAGCGAATTCCCACCATGTGCTTTCTCTGTGCCCCATGTTGTGCTGGGTGCTTCCCACAGGCTAGCACCCAGAATCCTCAAAAAAACTCTAGGAGGTGGCTATGCTCCTGAGTATCTGAGTATCCCCACTTTACAGATGAAGAAACAGACAGGGAGAGGCTAAATAACTTCCCCCAGATCACACAGCCAAAACTCAAATCTAGGCTGACAACAAACTTAACCTCCTTAGGCTACTCTCACAGCACACACTGAAGTCACCTCCTCCGGGAAGCCCCCCTGGCCCTCTTCCTGAGTGCCCTCCGTGCCCTGTGCCACCTCCATGAGAGCTCACTTCCCTACTGGGCTGTAAGTATGTGGCCTGGGAGCAAGGCTGCCTGGGCTTGACTCCGGGCCCCATTCACTGGGCAGCCCTGGGGAAAGCTGCACTGCTTCACCTCTCAGTGCCTCAGCTTCCTCACCCGGGCCAGTGAGACCAGGGCTTGTTGGGCACCGGAAGTGGATCTGAGCTGCCATAGGGGCCGGGCGCTGCCTGGCCAGAGGAGGACTCGGGGCACAGTGCTAATGGAGCCTTGCTGACCACTTCCCACCGGTGATGCTCACGGTCAGAGGCTGGGCAGGTACCGCCTGCCCACCAGGTACCCACACAGCAGGGGCAGCCCCTCCACTGAGCACCCCCCAACCAATGCCATCCAGTCCCAGCAAGCAGAAAGGGACTCACTTGGAGACCAGCGAGAAAGCCTCAGAGCAAACGGCAGGACAGGGGACAAACTTGATAAGGATGTGGCCCAGGGCCGCAGGGAAGTGGGCACGTGTGACCTTCTCCAGCACAGAGCTGAAGGTGTGGATGTCGGCGGCCTTACAGGATGGGTCCCCCGAGCCTGTGTCCAGGATGTTCCCTCCGTGCAGCACCAGCAGCAGGACGTGCGTCTTGCAGGAGCGCTGTGGGCCGACTTCCTGAAAGGGGCGTCAGTGGAGATAGAGACACAGGCAGCGGGAGAAAGGATGGGGGAGGGGTAACACAATGCATCACACACACACATGCAAACACACACAACACACACACACAGGCATGGGCTGTGGCCAGAGAAGCAGGCACTGTGCCCAGCCTGTCTCAGCTCCAAGTCAGGGACCTCTCCAGCCCCCCATGGGATGGGACCTCATGTGCATTTGGAGTGAGGGGCACAGACTGCCTGGAAGGAAGCCCCTCAATGTTAGGGCAGGTAGGTTCCCACAGACCCTTTTTGTTCATATGGGAGCCAGAAGCCCAGAGAAGGACAGGATGCTGCCCAGGGTCACACAGCAAGTCAAATGAGGAGCTGGATGGAAACTAGGCAGCCTGTCTACCTAGGGCTCCTCCTAAAACCCTGAGCGCAGCGGGGCCCAGACAGCCTCAGGAAGCCGGCCTACCTCATTGTCCTCGTGGATCTCAATGCTACCCTGGGCTGGGAACTTCTGTCTCCTCAAGGAAACCCGGTACAGCTCTCCTGTGGCAGGAACAGGGGGGAAGTCAGTTGGTGCGAGGAGAGGGCTCGCGGGCCCGCGTAACAATGGCATCCAGAGCTAGGAAGGCACCCTGCCTGGCACTTGCCTCCAAACACAACACAACATGAAACCCTTTCTCCTGCTAAAAAACAGAAGACCAGGGGGATGAGGCCATCATGGATGCTGTCCCGGTGGCCAGCAGGGGCATCCTAGAAAGGACCGATCCTGCTTTCCTTCACGAATAACAGCAGCCACAGTACAAGGGTCGTCGGACAGCTTCCACCTCCAGTAATGGACAGAAATTCGGGCCAAGCATCCAACAACTACAGTTGCTGGATTTAAAAAAATAAAAATCACTCAATATGTTTGACACTACCAGAGAGATGGCAAGGCCTTGAGCTATGGGAACCCCACCCAGGGGGAGGTGGGCCCTCAGAGAGGGAAGGCCAGCATTTGGACCACGCTCATCACCACTCATCGCCCTCGGGCCTCGGGGTGAAGCCAGCCGGCTGCCAGGAATGCTCTTCTCGCGCCTCTCAGCTGCCTGGGCTCAACGCCTCCACTTCCAGGAAGTGCTTCTTGGCATCCAACCCTCTCTGAGCTCACATTCCTCCAACACAGACACTACAATCATGGACCAAATCTGGCCCACGGCCTGTTTCTGTAAATAAAGTTTTATTGGAACACAGCCATGCCCATTCATTTACGCATTATCTGTGGCTGCTTATGTGCCACAGAGACTTTATAGCCTGCAAAGCCTAAAATATTTACTATCTGGCCCTTTAAAGAAAAGCTTGTTGATCCCTGATCTAATACCTGGTCCATCATTGAAGACGATAATTCTTCTCCTGCCACAGAAGATATATGGGCGAGATGCTGCCTCTCTGTGACCTGGCAGCCGGGGCAGCAGCCGGGAACCTAGACCCAGGGAACAGCTGGGACTTAACCTCGGACTAGGTGATGCGAGGCTGCTTCGGGCTCTCGGGTGGAGAGAGACCTTAAAGGCATCCAACAGCCCCCTCACTGCCTACCCAGTGGTGCGGCCACCATGGGAAAGTGAGGAATCCTTCCTTCCATCAAGCTGACCTTGCCTCTTCTCCTTTTTTGCCCATGAGAAGGCGACTACTTTCTCTGTGTGGATGAACATCACAGCTTGACTGTGAACCACTTATTTGCCTGCAGTGACACGGAACTCATCTCTTCAAGCAGCTGGTCCCTAGGCAAGGATGGCCCTTTCCTTTCTCACTTCACCCCCCGCCCCGCCCCCCGCCAGGAGCCTGCTGCACCCTGCTAGGGAGCGTGTTTGGGGAGCATCCTTCCCAGGGGCTTTGCAGGCAACCTGCAGCAGGTGTGGGCGGGAGCCCTGGCCAGCGTATGTCTGAGTCAACATCCCCCCAGCCACTGCCGGCCCCAGGGGAGGCTGCACCCGTGAGGAATTCCAAATGGGAAGCTGTCCTCAGCGGGGAAGTGTATTTCCGAAACCGTCTGTCCGCACAGACACTACCCTGGTCTAAGGGTAACTGCTTTATGAGCCTGGAGTTGCACACAGACAGGAAATCATTTCCTAAGTGATGGAGGACTCTGGTTTGGAGGAAGAAGAGGAAAAACTTGTTCTGAGGCCTGGCTTTACCCAGTACTTCCCAATGCTCCTTCCAGCGGCCCAGGCTCCTCTGCCTCAGAGCTGACATCCCGTGGGCCTTGCCCTGGAAGTGGCTAGAAGAGCCCTGGGCCCTTCCCTCAGGGCAGGATCAAAATAAGTGACAACAGTAGATGGCTCCATTTTACTGAGTACAGATGTCCCAGGCACTACGTGCCGTACAGGTGTCATCTCATCTGGTTCCCGCACAAGTAACCTCTCTGAGTTTTGGTCCTCTTGTTATTAGCCCAGTTTTACAGATGAGAAAACCAAGGCCCACACAACCTAAGTTGCTCGCCCCAGGCAACACAACCGAGAAGCCTGGGTGAGCTGACACGTGAACCCAGATAACAATGTCCCACACTCAGCAGAAGACAACGCTTGAGAAAGTGCTCCCCTACCCATCTGACCTCCACAGCTTCCTGGGGAGCAGGGCACAAAAGTCCTCATTCTGTAGAGGAAACAGGAGGACAGATTGATAAGTGACATCCAGTGGACTGAAGTCCAGGCCCGCCGTGGAGACCGTGTGGCAGCAGGAAGAACGAGAGCGTCCAGGAGGGAAGCCGAGCTTGGCTTCGCGTGCGATGCTGCAGCGCCAGGGGACCGGGAGGGACCCAGCGCTGGCAGGGCTGCGTCCATGGGTCTGGGGCCTGGGCGGCCCCTGACTTCCAGGGCTGGGGGAGACCCGGCGGAAACCATGGACCTTGGAGCCAGAATGCCTGAGTTCAAATCGTGGCTCTTATCAGCTACGTGACCTGCACCTCTGTTTTCTCATCTGGAGATGACGATAGTAGCTACCTCTTGGAATGATGATGAGAATAAATGAGTTCATATATAGAAAGGGCTTAGAATGGGACCTGGAACATAGTAAATACTATATAAGTATTATTACCATCCTCCTCCCCCACCTCCTGATCATAATCCAGGGCACACTGAGGGGCGCAGAGCCACAGATGATAAGAGTTGGCCAGAGGCCCATAGGGACATTGCCGCCTCCACACTCTCCGGCCCTGTCCCCAAGTCCTCCCTGAGTCCTGGCAGGCTCCCCAGCCTCGCTGGGCTGGGTGCCTACTTGCACCGGGGAGGCTGCTTGCAGTGTGATTACAGGATTAAATACTGTGATTGCCACAAATTACCATAGCAAGGCTATAAATAAGTCGCAGGGAAGACATGCAGGTCCTGCCATCTCCCGGGCACCGAGCCCTCTGGTAGGTGGGGGCCGCGTACCCCCGTCACTGCTTACATAGATCGAGGAGCCCCCACATCCTTGATCTGCCTGTGGCCAGCTTCCCTGCAGCCCACACGATGTTCTGGGCATCAAATCAGTGGACAAGTGCTGTATCCTGGCTGCAAATGATGCTCAGGCAGTTCCTGGCTCGGTGGGGATGGGAGACTGGCCTGGTTGTCCTCTGCATCCCTGGCCCCTTCCCTAGCAAAGGGAAGAGCGGTCTCCTGTGCTGTTTGGGGTGGAGCCTTGCTTCTTTTCAATGAACAAACGCCGGAGATGCTTTGCTCTGGGATAGGGAAGAGGGGAGAGCTAGGCTGCCAGATCTAGATTCTGGCCCCTGGAGAGTTCCCTAACAGGACCAGAGTCGCCCCACCGAAAGGTACATCTCCAGTCTTAGACGGAGCCTCTGTAGACAAGCAGAAGGGCAGCCTAGAGCCCCCGCTGCCAGCACCTTGCTCACAAGGGCTCTGCTCTTCCCAGCACCAGACATTTCCACCCCAGCAGCTGAGGCCACTGGCTCTGACTCATCCACTAGGCATAACTCTTTCACTCCTCCGTGCCCTTGCTCGTCCCAAGCCCTCTGCCTGGTAAGCCTTCCTCCCCTCGCAGGCCGACACATTCCCACTCGTCCTTCAAACTCTGCTCAGTTGTCACCACGTCTGGAAAGCCTTCTCAGATCTGCTCCAGCAGAGACACTTACCCCACAGCTTGCTGAGAGGGGCCTGGCTTACTGCTGGGATGTGACTTGTTAATTTCCCCATTGGACTGTGGGCCCCTTGAGAGCAGGGTGGATCAGCTGTCAGGGCCTCAGGTGGCATTTTTATGCAAACTTATTGCAAGTGAAGATCCAGGGCTCACAGACTGTGAGACAGCTCTCTACGGTCAGTCCCCCAGGAGAACGCAGGTTCAGTGAGCCTCATCCTCAGGAGGCGCGTTTCTTAGAGGTCCCCGGGGAAACTGTATCGGGGGACATCTGGGAATTCTACAACGGCTTGGCCTGGGCTTGGGGGCTCCACATCTGGAGGCTCCCCTAGAGCCTCTGGTGGCGAGATCTGCTGGCAGGGGTGGCGGGGAGCCACATGTCGGGGCCCACTTCCTGCTCATTTCTGTCCACATGACCCTATTCGGGCTGGTCCCTGCCGCACCCAGATATGGGATGGGGGAACCCACAGCTGTTTTTGTGAGAACTTTGAGGCAGGCCAGCCCCCACAGAGCCTGCTTCCAGCGCCCCTGCCAGTCTTGGCACTGGCAGGGGGCCCACCCAGCTCACCAGGGCTCCTCCTGGCAGCTGAAGAAGGGAGGCTATTTTTGCTTAATCACCACCTTGGAAAGGCACAAATCGTGATCATCCCTCCTAATTACTGATGTGCCACACTGCTCTTGAGACAAAAGCCAAGGTCATCACCACGCACTCAGCACCCTCAGCACACGGAGTCACCGGCGTGGCGGTCTCCATTCTCCCTTGCGACCTGTCGCCAGCGCCCAGGAGGGGTAGATGCGGGGGTGACCCCTAGCTAACACTGACCACGCGCTTTCACCCTCCGCTCTGCCAGCCCCTGCAGTGGCCCCCATCTCCACTAGTGCCCCCCGGGGAGCAGAGCTGGACCCAGCTTGAGACCATGGGGCATGTCCTGAGAAGGGCCGACAGGAGTACCTGATCCTCGCTGAGCAGGTGGAAGCACAGGCCCTGGCGTTAACACACACCTGGTGTTTGAACCCAGTGGCTCCGCTCTGTTGCTCTGATGTGGGATATGAGAGGTATCCCTGGCAAGATCCAGGAAGATCTGGAGTCTCATTCAGCAGCAAGCAGGGCCCCCAGGTAAACCCACACAGAAAAAGACACACGCGCTGGAGGAGATGGGCCACAGGAGGAGTCACAGGGCGGCAGGTGAAGGCTCTAGTCAGAGGGTGTCCTTGGACGCCCTCTCCACAACACCCACCAGCGCAGAATGAGGGGTTGGCCTGCGTTCCCTCTTCCCAGTCAGGCAGTCAGAGAGCCTCTGAGCCCGAGCGTGAGGAGCCGCGCCCTGTGTGAGTCCAGCCTCCGCGCCCAGCAGCCTCCCCCCCTAGGACCCTGACGAGACCTGCACGTCGCTCTGAGAGACGTGGAGAAAGAAAGAGGGTCCAGGAAACTGCAG